TTCCTGCTAGGAAATGGCAGAGGAGTAACCCAGATTGTAGTGCAAAATGTTATGCTCATAAGTAAGGGCCACTCATGGTTTGTAACTGTGATGTTGCACCTAGAAATCTAATCTGTGGTGGCTGATTCATAAGCCAACATGAGCAGCTTGCAGGAAGGGTGAGAGCCTCAGTGACTTTCAGGCGAGACTGCCTTAGGGGCTGTGCAGATGTACCTTGTGAGATGCTAACACTCAGTTAAGGTCTTACCTAATTTATAGTATTGATGGGTGATTATTGCAGCTGCTTCAAGGTGTACAATTATGAGTAACTGTCTGCTTACTTCCACATGTGCCTGGCCTCCCTTACCTCAAACAGGACTTGAGTGCTGTAATCTAGAAGTTGCTCTAAGCCTGCAGCAGGGCAGTGTGCATACACAGTGGTCCAGGCACCCCTGCTGTGGCTGGTTGCCCTTCCCGTTTGTGACATGAGTAATTGCTATAGTATCAATTTGTGTTTTGCAACTCTTATTACATCTGCATTGTGAAGTCTTGCCTCTTCCATTCTTGGAGGCAATAAGAGCCATGCAAGACTTGGAAAACTTGAAGCATGAACTGAGGATGACGTGAAGGAAAGCAGATTTATAGCTAAAATGTTGCACTAATCTGAACCCCATCTGTTTGGTACCCTGTCCTGGGAACAGATTTCAAAGTGGTTCAGAAATGCTAATATAGTACTGAAATTCTGATCTACTGTTAATGTCAAGTTTATTAAGAGATGTTTTTTACATATGTGAGTACATGACAGCTTGCTGGGAGGGATTTGTGTATTGTGTACACGAGGGTTGTATTTTTCAAATTAGAAGCTTAAAGTTCTGTTGATCATTAGGGCAGTACAGAATCCCAACATGCAAGTACAAGCACCTTCCAACAGTGCCTTAAGTAATGCCACTAACTTGTCAGGAAATCTCTGTGAAGACAATGCCATTCAGACTGAATAACTTTGGCTGGCACTTAGATCAAATGGAGAGATATTTTCCCTTTCTGGTTAAATCTGGCACAATAAGGATTGTGATTGATTGCTATTAAAAGCAATAAATCTTGCAAATGTAACTCAGCTTGCTTCTCAGGAGAGGCTGTGTTTGAGAGGAAGCTAGGGCTTGGGATTCCTGTGTGTCCTGTCTGTTGAACTGTGGAAATGTGTGCCAAGGGCTCCTTTCTTGTCTAGGAGCTCTGAGCCCGGTGTGCATCTTCTGTATCTCTTCTCAGACACCAACTGCATTTCAAATATGATGCCATTTTTTCTGATGCACCAATACTAAATGTACAAAAATCAAATCTCCCTAATTAAAACGTTTGTAGGTCTGGTTTAGTAACCGTCGTGCTAGATGGAGGAAGCAGGCAGGTGCCAATCAACTGATGGCTTTCAACCACCTGATCCCAGGAGGATTTCCACCCAGTGCCATGCCAACTTTGCCAACGTACCAGCTCTCTGAGCCCTCCTACCAACCCACCTCCATACCGCAAGGTACAGTAGCCAACAGGTACTTGGTTAAAATAGTGTTATTGGGGGTTTCTTGTGGTGATTCACTGTAGAAACACTTTCTTCTTGAAAGTGAAAAAACAGGTGTTTGCTAATTTAGGGTCTGAATCAGTGAGGACCTTGCAAGCCTGCTTATTTTAAGCATGTAGGAACTCAGGTTTGTTTTGCTGCAAGAAAGGGCTGGTTATGTGTGGAGGATGCTAGCTAGAGAAACAGTAGCCTCCTGCACAATGTGGGGTGCAGCATTTGGTGAAGCAATGTACACATTTCCCTACCCTTTCTCTGTGCTGGATGCTGGGGAAGGAGGTAGCAGGGTTTTTTTGTTGTCTTTGTTGTTTTTTATAATGATGCTCTGGGAACTTCTGTGATTACTTGCAATATTTATCTGATTATGGAAAAAAACCAGCTATTCTGACCATCTTCTTTCACATGAGATAGTAGCAAGTCTCATTTTGGTTAAAATGTGCATTAAACTTAACAGAAATTCTATGAACTTTCATGGATTTGGGGAGGAGGGAGCCAGATCTTCAAATCTAAGCTATGCTAGGTTTTACTGATAATGAAAGACCTTATAGGTGAGTTTTTGTGAGACAAGTTACTGTGTTCTCCTTGCTCCCTCCTTGAGATTCGGATTCTAACTGTTGGTGAATGTTTTTGCCAGGCCACATTTTAATTAAGGGAATTTAGCAAAGCCCAGGGCTTCTCCCATCCATTTCTATGTCTACTACAAATCATGCCAGAATGTCTGGGCTGTGACCAGGAGAAGAAAGCCTGCAGGCTTTTAAAGCTTTTCATTTTATAATACATATTAAAAACATATTTATATCTTATATATGTTAGATATGGAAATCTTAATTTTCTTAGCAATTCTGAACTGCATGTACTCACTAAGGATTGTCTGAAAACTGTCTGTGAAAATTTTTAGTCTTTTCAGAGCTGTTATGTAACTTATCTGGCCAGTTAAATATCCAGCAATACTAAAGACTTATCTTTTTATTTAACCAGTATTTACATGCAATTCTTGATGCAATTCTGTCAAGTTGGGTTTCACATGATGAACTTATTATGCCAGAAAGAAAGGAGGAAAACGTATCAACATGTTTCTTTTGCTTCCAGCGGTGTCTGATCCAAGCAGTACCGTCCACAGACCTCAGCCTCTCCCTCCAAGCACTGTGCACCAAAGCAGTCTCCCTTCAAATCCAGAAAGCAGCTCTGCCTATTGCCTACCCAGCACCAGGCATGGATTTTCCAGCTATACAGACAGCTTTGTGCCTCCGTCCGGGCCCTCCAATCCCATGAACCCTGCCATTGGCAATGGCCTTTCACCTCAGGTCAGTCTTGTGTTTTCAGACAGAGGATTTGCTGTATACCAGAACCAAAGAGTCTATTCCCTCAGGCCACAGTATAATGAATTGCCAAATTTAAACCATAATGTATTCTTTATACAAGCCACATGATTTTGGTTTGCTAGTTTCCTTCTTTTTTTTAAATTTTTTTCCTCATACTGGCTGAATCAAAAGTCATAGTTTATATTTAATTTCAGGTGATTTATAATGTTATCATGCAGATTTCATGTTTACATTCAGTTGTCAAGTGTTTATAAAGTACTGCTATTTTCCTACAGATCCATGGCTAGACACAGGAAGTAGATGATGTAGTTTTTCTAGAAATGAAATGTATCTTTATGACAATCTCACCAAGGTTTGGCCAAATGGTTCAGGAAAATTACAGACAAGTTGTACAAGGAGAGTTCCAAGGGCTGAGCAGTACACAGCGAGATGAGCCGTAATCGAGTTATAAATACATAAATTAGGAGTATTACTGCTCTTTGGCAATATATAAATCCATGAATACCATAATTGTTTTTCTAATTTGCATGAGCTCCTTTTAGGAAATCATGTTAATAAATTGCCTTGATAATTGAGTGTCAAAAGGTTGGCTAAATTTTCCTACAGGCAGCATCTGTCTGAAGCTGAAATTATTAGCCAAAGCTTGATTAGATGGCACTTTATTTTATTAGCAAGAGCCTTGCCCAGGTGCTTGGAAAGAGATGTCCACTAAATTCTGAGAAGTTACAAAGAGAGTGCAATCTATAATTACCATCAGGAATCTCTTCAGGGCTGAAAGTGAGAATTTTAACAGCTTTGTCTTCTTTCTACCCTTTTTTCCTCTCGCTGGTTAGAAAAACGGAGAGAAGCTCAGAATGACACAAATGAAAAACGAAAAGACAATTATACTCAATTACACAGTAATCACTGACTATCACCACTGCCTAAGCAGGGAGAGGGCATTCTAATAGGCAGAAAATGAGATTTTAATGGCACAAAGGGTGGCCAAAGTAACGACTCGTATATCTTTGCCTCCTTCGTTTTCTTCAACTTGTGGTTTGCATCTCGGGAGTACAGTTCCTGGTTCCTGTGCAACGGTGATAACTCTGTGCAGCTGAAAAGTTCAAAGGCACTAGAGTTGAAAAGAATGAATAACAAAGGCAATGAAATAAACATTTTTGCCTAAAGGCAAAAGTTCATAAACCCTTTTTTGTAACAGTAAATGTAATTAAGTTTCACAGATTCCTATAGCATAGAGTGGGGTACAAAACTTTATGGCTTGAAACCTCAGGAAAAAAATACCAACAGAAAAACAAACGGATGTACTTCCAAGAAGACTTGAATGGATTTTTCTCTAAAGAATTCTGATTTCCAAATGCAATCTCCAGCAAAAGGCATGACATTATAGTAGTTGCTGCTTTTATTTTTAATGGCCAGCTTCATAGTGTGTGAGGCTTCCACAATTTTTTGATATACACATCTTTCTGGGATTCTGCATTGATCCATCAGAAGAGGTTGTTAGCATCAGTTTAAGTGTATGTTGGTTCTGGCTATGGAAAATGTGATTTTATTTTTTTTCCTTTCACAAAGCTTTTGTTTTCTGTGGCACAGAAGTGGAGCACAACAGTAGAGAAATGTTGTGATGTCTGGGCAAAGCGGCATAAAAAAGTGAGGGCAAGTTTCCTTCCCCCAAAATCTTGCTATTTGAGGTTTAATATAATCAAAAAGAGATCACAGAGCAGATTAAACGTCTTTAATCAGTTACTGTGCTTCTTTACACCCTGTCTTTATGGTTTGAAATCTCTGTATTTTGTTGTTATTCCTTAGACTTTTGAAACCTTTTCCTGTCCCAGTGCCTAGAGCTCCTGTCCCTATCCTGCATCTCTTCCAGGTTTAGGAGAAGGCTGATCACTCAAAAGCTGATGTTGTATTAATCCCTGAATGCAGACAGGAGATCACTTATAGCCGTGTCGGTTTTGAACAGCTTTGTGGCAACTGAATGATCACCTTCAGTGGCTGGTAAAGATCTTTCCATCAAACAAGCAAACCAAAAACCCAGCCTTAAGTTCATGCAGTGTTACCAGAAGTTCCCCTAAAAAATGTTAGGGTCAAAAGAATGATTTAGGGAAATTTATAAAACTTATGTGTATACAAGCTGATATACCTAGGTTTGATACAGCCTCAAATACGTAAATTATGTGCAACAAATGGTGAGACTCTGTGCTTTGTGCCTGAAGGAGCAGCCTCAGACTTGGGTCATGTAGGTGCAGTGTTACTGTGTGTGAAGTGCCCCACAGCCCTGAGGTGTGTCACAATGCATCCCCTTGTCACCCTTCCTTGGGGCTCTTCCTGCAGGCACCCAGGTGGCCACGAAGTCAAAATCCAGTTCTGTGTTGGGGTTTGCATGAAGAGAGAATCTGAGTGGGTGTGCTGCAGTGCCCTGCCTGTGTGCATGGAATTTAGATGAGAAGGAAAGAAGGTCTCTTTACGAGCCGGTGGATTTTTGACCACAATAAATCTGGGTGTGTGAGCAATTAACATAATGTTTCCACCCATCAGTGTCCTCTCAGGCAAGAGCTCTGGATGTATTGTGTGTAAAGCTGAATTTATGGGGACTAGAGGGGGGAGGGTGAGCTTCTTCTGAAGCCCAAATAATCTTTTGTAATTATAAAAAAAACAACCCTCAGAACATGCAGAACAAAATCTAATATTAAGATTCAAGGGATCACATTTTTACCAGACTTAAAACTCTTTTTCTCCTTGGACTTCAATTGATTCGAAATGAAGATCTGATGCTCAGACCCCTGGAGAAGCTTTATCTTCCTCACAGGGTGTTTCCTTTCTAAGTTTGTTCTTGAGTATGATGGAGAAAGATGTTTCAGGCAAGCACTGGGTGAAGGCAGAGGAGAAGTAGACATGGCTTGGGTGTTGTAATTTTGTTTTTTATCTTGTTAGCCAAGAACTTGCAAGTTAAAGAAAATTGTATGTTTTGGTCAGGTTTAGGAAGCAGAATGCTCGATAACATGCCTGTCTTGCAGAGAAATAAAATGTTGTTCCTGTTTAATAGGAGTCCCACCTTGTTAATACTATTTGGCACTTTTAAAATACTGAGACAAGACCTGGAGCTCTGTTTCAGATGACTGACTGTTCTTCTGGTTTATCTGATTTACTCATTGCTACCTGACTGGTGAGAGAATCTCTGTTTTACAGACCCGCAAAGGGTGAACTTATGCTAGAATAAACCAGGGATTAATGCCTTGGAGAAGTGGTAGCCGGGAGTGTCCTTGTTTGTATTTTATGGAAAAGCAAGCAAACTGCAAGCATGCCACCTCAGCCAGAGCTCTTGAAATACAATGTCAGAACAGAGATTATTAGTGTGTAATATATGTAAATTGCATATTTTTGTGTTTTCTATGCCTATTATGCAGCTTCTTCACTTTCATGCATACATTTACGGGAATACTGTATTTTCTTTTCAAATTAGGTCTCAGTTGCTCAGTGTATTTTCTTTTAAAAAACACTTGTTAACTCAAAATTATTAGGGAGAAGCATATTAATGTGTTAATGTTTGTGTATGTGACTTGAGTGTGCCTCTAGGCTGGCATGTCACTGTCTGATCTTGGCATTAACAGTCATCACCAGTTCTTCTGTGGAAAGCAGAACAACGACTGCAAAACCACTTGTCTCACAACTGCAGGTGTATGGTCTTACTAGAGAGCAGATTGTTTTTAAGACAGGATATCAATATTTTGAACTGCTTCATTTGAGATAAGGAAAGAAGCTTTTCCAGTGTACATGGGCATCCCTTGACACCCTCATGTGTTTTTTATTAGTGTCAAGGCAGCAGAGCTTGCTCTGAGCCAGGCAGTTCAGGCACTTGGCTAGTTTTGAAGCATGCACTTTCCAACTGCCCCTCCATCCAGATGCTCTGTTCCAGTGCTGCCCATGAGGCCATTTGCTTCCTACATTTGACCTGTAGGATACCCAGACTTGAGCAGTACTGCAGTGTCAGGTTTTTAATGGAAAGACAACAAATGTGCATAACCTGTTTCTTGCTGGACATATTTTTTTTCCTTCTTGTCCTCCAGAAAGCTTCTCAGATCTTTTTCCTCTTCCTTGTTATCTTCCTCTGTGATTGAGTCAAACCAGTAACTTTAAAGACTGCAGTTTAAAAATGGGAAGTGGATTGAATGTTGAATGGATTCTGTGAAAGATCTTAACAGTCTATAACAAAGTTTGCAGTTCTCATGCCTTTATCTGGAGCTCAGGAATAATCTTGATAAGAAAATTCCAAACTTTCTCAGAACAGCAGTAAAGATGCAAGCTGTTTCAAGGTTTCCTTCTTCTACTGTCAAAACATTTCACTGCCTGAGTTTCAGAATTATCCTGTAATTATTTTTGGTGAGTTAGATCTTAGGCAATTGGCTTTTCTTAAGTCTTTGAGAGCACTTGGTTTTCATTAGCTGGAAGTATGGATCTGATGGCAGCTGTCAAATCAGTTAGATTTGTTCATATTGTCTTGTTAACTCTGCTTTTAAGGGAAACACAGGAACCAGTGGCTAAAAACTTGCACTCCCTCGTTAAGAGGGGCAGGAGAGGGGAAAAAACCCCAACTGTTAATTTATTTTACTTTTTCTTATGTCCTCTGTTGAATTACTGTCCAACTGGTTGTCCTCAGAAATATTCCATTTGGCTACAAGTTCCACACCAATGAGAAGCTCAATATCTTTGTGGCAATGAACTTGGCTTTGAGAGCTCTTTGCTAAATGACCCAAGAACATGAGACAGAGGTCAGGGATTTCTTTGAGGAAGAAAGTCAATTTCCATGATATAATTTCCATGAGCACAAATTTTGGTTTGTGTTTTTTTTAAAAAAAGTTCAGCCAATGGCATTGATTATTTATGTTTCTGTAGTGGGTGCAAGTAGGTGGGATCAAATAGATTAATAAGAGTTACTGTGCAAGAATAATAGTTATTAGTGGCAATATGGCATTATTTTAAAT